CTATAGTTGATTCATATAGCTAAAATTGATTGGAAAAAGGCTTGGAGATCTATTTTGGGTATTGTTTCGATTTTACCTCAGAACCCCCATTTTATCCCTACTTAACGCTAATAAATTGTTATCTTTTAAAAAAATTAAATTAAATGGTTTTTTAAACTTTTTTTATTTTCAAAAATATTTATTTAATAGAAATAAAATCACAAAATTTAATTAATTTATATAGATACAGTTTATCAAAAAATAATATATTTTAAATAGTTTACCTGATCTGAAAAACAAAGATTTCTTAAATTATTAAACATGGATTGATAATAGAATGCTATTATATCTGAAATATAATTTACTAATAATATTTTAATCAATTTTAATTTAATTTGGATTTTATTTTTCAATTAATAAATTATAATATAAGAATTTAAAATAATATTTATTTTATTAATTTCAAATTCAACATAAACTGCTAACTAGAATTATAAATATAATATATAACACACTTTTAGAAATGATCGACAAATGCAATTCTTCGAAATTTATTTCTTTTCGTAACTATACCTTAATGAACTTCGTTTGAACTCTAAAATTATATTCATAGATGTGTTTTAGCTCGTTCTGCAAGTTTACTTAGAACGTCAAATTACTTTACCGCAAAAATGCGCCACATGTATAATTGGTGTAACTTTGTCACACATTTGAGCTGTGCGACTTGCAGAATTTCTGCCTATAAATATCAATAATTTGATTCTTATTTTTTTTTTAAAAAGATGAAAAAGTTAACTACACCTGCTATAAAATTAGAGCAACAGGTGCCTATTCCTTCCCTTAATCAAAATATGACAAATCCTCGTCAATCAATGGGCCCAACTCTACAACATCCTACTGGTTATAGACCTGTTGCTATTTACACAAATAATAATCTTCATAACCAAGTAATGGTTCTACCGCGTTGTAAGTAAGAGTGATATAAGAGAACAAAGCATTATGATAATTCGTTTTTAACACCTTTCCACCTTCACCTCTCTAGTAAATACACATTTAGACAATTCTATATTAAGGTAAATTTCTAAACTAAAAAAAAAATAAGAACTATCTTTTAAAAAGATTTTTTTTTTTTGGTAAATTGATTAAAGTAGAAGAGCGACTGCAACGACAGTGCCTGGTATTTCAAGAGCGACCGACGAAAACGCTAACTATGACGATGTTTTATCATTTACTGGGATTGACCTAAAAGTATGAAAAAAAAGAAATATCCAAATAAATTATTTCCACTAGCTGTAATAATTCTTTTCTAATATAGGAAGAAACGGATAATATTCTAAGAGAGAATGAGTTATTGGGAATTCGACAATCCGCTTCTGCAATACAATTTCCAGTTCGCTCACGACCGCAGAGTTTCTTGGATCCAAATAAACTTGCAAGTGTAGTTACGTCTATAGGTAACTACTAACTTTATTAAGGAAAAAGATATTAAAGGAGAAATATATGAAGGGAAAAAGGACACGTCATCTAACTTTCCTATAAAATTATTTTAGCTATGCAACAAGAATTAGGAGTAAATCCTAACGTTATGACTTATTTAGCGCTTGCTACACAAGAAAGAATTAGATCTTTAGTGGAAGCAATGATTGCTGCTAAAAATCATCGGATACATTCGGAGCATGTACATTATCCAGGTGTAACTGGTGTTGAGAATCAAACAAAGTATAAAGAAATTGTTAGTTTAGATGTCAAATCACAATTACTGGCAATAGAAAAGGTAGAATTTGAGCAAGAACGTAAAAGAAGGGAAAGTCGGCCAGGATCAAAACATAATAGTAAAACGGAATATGAAGACGCAAAAGGCCTAACACCTATCGTTGCACCTAAACGTCATAAACGTCAGAAGAAAGAAAGAGAGGGTACTTTACCTAAACCACATAAACTATCGGTTAACACGAAGAGTACCAATATGACAGCTTTATCAGCGGCTGGTGGTAAAACTAAAAGTTGGATGATTGATATGCAACCTGAAATTTCAACCGTTATTGGAAGTGATACAACGTCTGCTACTGGTTCAAAACCATCTCGTGGACGTTCTAGGTCAATCTCAAAAGCTAAAAATCTTGCTGGTGCCAGAAAAGGAGAATCCCAACGAAGTTCATTCACCCGTTTCGTCACCAATCCATATATTACCGGTCAGCAGCAACCAATTAATGTTCATGTTACAACAATAACGGTGAAAGACGCTCTCTTTGTATTAGAAAAATATCATGGTGATGGTAGCAGTGTCAAAAGTAGTCGTGAAGTTCAAATGAAGTTACTGAATAGTATTCAATGAATTTTATGAAAATTCTCAGTTCCTATACCAAACTTTAGTTTTCAAATAATTAGAATAGAAGAGAAATAGGGGATTTGGTCGGGATTTACAAATTATTGTGTTAAATAATAGTAAGCACAATTATTTGTGAAAATAAGTGAAAAGAAATATTAAAGACCTATTTTTCGTTACATAAATAGTTCCTAGCGACTTTATTGCATTAAAAACGCGGTAATTTGTATATAATTATTTGTCAGTCAAATATCTTTGTGTTGCGAATCTATTGATGAAGATCGATGAATCAAATCATGAAAATAATAAAAGTTTGATAAGAAAAAGAATTGATGTGCATTATTTCGTCTTTTGCAAAATTATTAAAATTATTTATCAGTATTTATTAAGATCGATAACGATGAAGTTCAAAACTAAAATTACACATGACGTAACGTCTTACAGACTTGATGAATATCAGAATTATTGATCAAAGATCATATCATATTCTTTCTCTACAAGTGGTTTATCGCAATTATGATTTGAGACATAAATTTTTAGCCTTGAATTAATTTCATTTTCATGACCATTTTTTTTTTTATAAAATTCTTTGGATTAATTTATTTAATTTATCAATAAAAATATATACTTTGAAATTTATAGCATTTAATTTACTTGTATTTCATGTTTTCAACGGGAAAATAAATATTAAAAGCTTTCATTTTACAAATCATTTGATACTACGATGGATTATTAATTGTGGCCAGGCTCTATAACTTTTGACCAAAACTTAGTAAGGGAAAAAAAACTCTGAGCAAAAATAAGTATGTCCGCACCTTGCCTAAAAAATAAATTAAGTATGATACTGCGCCAAATTTGTTACTTAACCAAGTAAGTTGAATTTTGTAATAGATACTTCTCTAAAACTAGTCAAAATATAACATTTTCTTGTGGATTGTTTTCTTTTGATGAAATTTTAATGAAGATTTTTGCGAGATAATTATGTATACATTCATTGATTAGTTTAATTTGAGTAAAACGAATAAAACAAGTATTATTTACCTCTTTACGAGAATCTGCATCAATGAACTCAAATAAATGTATTTCCGCTTCATATTTTGACTTAAGTGAGATCCTCAGATTTGATAGTTCCGATAGAGTAATCTCAAAGCACGCACGTTCGACACGTTCGGTGTTCCCATTATATACTGATAATTTTGCTTCTATCAGTAAATCCGCCTACCTTTCTTCGTACCCTCAAATTTTTTTTTGATGATCGTTGTTAAGTATACGCGGATAGAATAGTGAATTTGTAATCTTTACGATGACCCGACGAAATTGTTTCTTGCTATGGATATTGTAAATATTAATAAAAATCGGCATGGTAACAATAAAATTCAAAGAAACTAGTCCCTTAGATTTCATTTCAAAAGGATTGAGATACTTGGTCAAGTACCGCATATTTTAACTGAAAAGCAAAGCTTATTAACAATTTATATACGTCACATAGAATATAAATATAATTTGTTAAATAGTCATTAAATGAATTAATGTATTTTTTTTTTTTTTTTTTTTTACAAAAGAACAAACGACACTCATTCCAAATTTTTATTCTTCAGGTTCTTTCTAAACTTAATCATAACATTATAATATTCATAATCGTTAACAATATGTTTACGAATGATTCTGAATTATAAAACACTTTAAAGAAAAAAGATGATAAAACGAACAGCTGAGATCACATACAAAATATACGAATACCAAATAGGGCGATTCTATTGAAGATTTTCATTTACAAATAAAAAAATTGGACACCGTAAAAATTTTATTGTGCCTCTAAAAACTTTGATTTTTCAAATCGTATTAAATAACATTTATAAGAGGTAAAAATACAAAGTTAGAGTTCATCAAATTGATTTCGACGGTTTTTTTATATTTAGCTTTTGACGTTTTATATTTTCAATTATTAGTTTCGACGATATTGTCGAAACCTAAAGATTCTGCCAAGAAGTGAAAAGTCACAAAAAATTATTACCCTCAGTATTTTCGTTAATAACTTTGTTCTTAATTAATTTTAAAGAAGATTGGATGTATTGTTTGATGTCGCTTCTGGTGTCGAAACAAATGTATGTCAACTGGCCTAAATTAACGGGACAGCATTACTGATGACCTTATATCATTTCTATATTTAGTATCCCGTCGTCATCTGACAATTGAGGGGGTTTATTTATTAAAACATTGCAACGATGTACATACACTAAAATTATTAATGTTTATATTTAACAAACGTTACAAGATTTAACCCGTCGTGCATTTTTTTTTTTTGCTTTTCTTTTATCCAAGTATTTTTAATTCATTTCATTATATAATAAATTTAATAAATAAAATGCAAGCTGTCAATAATTCTATTGAATTGGTTAATTGGATTGAGGAAACAATTTCAAAAAAATATATTAAATACTACAAATACAAACATTTTAGCAATTTTCAAGAAATTGGTATTGGCAACTTTGGAAAAGTTTATCGTGCTAATTGGAAAAGTACAAATCAACTGCTAGCGTTAAAATTGTTTCATAACTTTAACAATATCACCGTGAAGGAACTTTTTCGAGAGGTACTTGCAAAAATAATATGTATTTCGTCAGTTTATTATTTTATTAATCGAGTTATATTGTATTGTAATAATTTAGCTTGAACTTCAACGGGACGTTGATTTTCATGATAATATTATCCGCTTTTGTGGGATAACTTCATATCAAGGTAACTTTTCATAATAAAGTTTATATATTGAATTTTTTTTATTTTGTTTTAACTCGACTCATTTTTTAAAACAATAATTAGATAATCAAAATGATCAATTGAAAAAATATTTGTTAGTAATAGAATATGCTGATGGCGGTTCACTTAGAAACTATTTGAAGGAGAAATTTGATATACTTACTTGGGAAGATAAATACAAGTTTGCATTACAGTTGGCTTGTGCTGTGTCATTTTTACATGAAGAAGAAATTGTGCATCGTGATTTGGTAAGTTTACAAAAAAAAATTTTTTTTTTATTTATTATTATTGTAAAATATTAATAATGAATTTTATGATTTATGTATAGCATTCCGGAAATATACTAATTCGTCAAGGTGTTATTAAATTAGCAGATTTTGGATTATCGAAAAGAATTGAAGCAGCAACTTATCGGTCAAATACCTTTGGAGTAATTCCTTATATTGACCCAAAATTTTTTAATTATCGAAGAAATGACAATACATCAACACAATTTATACTGAATAAAAAGAGCGATGTTTATAGTGTTGGCGTGCTTTTGTGGGAGATCTCGAGCGGTATTCCTCCCTTTTTTGTTGAAGCATACGACATAAGATTAGCTATCGAAATTTTAGGAGGACGTAGAGAAAAGATCATTCTCGGCACACCTGAATATTATATGAGCATTTACACCGGTAAATATTTAATTATGGATTTATTTATAAGAATATAAAGGATTATTAAATTCTTTTTTTACTTAATTTCAGGATGTTGGGATAATGAGCCAGATAATCGTCCATCAATGAAGCAAGTAGTTGATAAATTAAATAAAATAACAGAAAATAATCAAACGAATGAATCAAATCTTCAAAGTCATTCGAATAACATTGATGCTTCTTCTAGCATAAATGAGCCAATTGATGGATCATCTCAAATTGTTCGATTTGATCATGTAAATCATCAAATGGATAATTATGTACAAAATACTTCCGAAATTATCCATCATTTGGATGATAATGCATCAGACATTATTTATGATGATACTATCGAAATCTTATGGGTTACGGAACTTAATAAGGATGACATATTAAACGCCTTAGGAGGATTAAAAAGATATCGTAAATTAACAAAGATCATAAGTTATGTAGATAACTTACCTACTCTACCAATCTCCTTAACGGTATTTGATTGTTCTTACACTCAAGTAGATATCCTACCAACTTTACCAAACTTCCTAACGGAACTTTATTGCTCTAGTACTCGAATAAAAATCCTACCAACCTTACCCAACTCCTTAACGTCTCTCGATTGTTCAAATAATCCAATAGAAATCCTACCAACGATACCCACCTCCTTAACCAAACTTAATTGCTCTGGTACTGAATTAAGTACCCTACCTACTTTACCCAACTGTTTAACTATTCTTAAATGTGACAAAACTCGAATAACTAGCTTACCGAATATACCTACATCTTTACAATCATATTTTCACTTTCTATAAGATATGATAAGCTTTCACATAATTTTGATTGTTAAATTATATTCTTTTATTTGCTAAGAATAAAGGGTTCTTTTATTCTTAAAGTAAAATGACTATTGTTAATAATAATGGAATATATGAAATTATACAGCGTTAAACGATCTAAGATTTCTTTCTTTTTTATTCTGCAATATTTATTACATTTATTAAAGCCTATTTATCAAACTCATCATATGCATCGTTTTAATACGAAATTGCGGATTTATACATTTTCCTTTCCTATAACAAATTTTATTTAAAATAATCCTTTCCTCACATTTTTCTCTTAAAATAAATATCAAATAATATTATTTAAAAGGTTTTATCAAAATCTCAAAAATAAATTATTAATCTCTATTTGTGACTTGCATATACGGTTATACGATGGATGACTAATTTTATTAAATAAGAAAATATTAAAATTATATATTCTAATTTAATATGAAAGATAGATTTAAATCTTATATGCTCAGATAAAACGAAACAACGCCGAAATTATTTATTTTAATTTGCTCTTCCAAAATTTTTTTTTTTTTTACAACTGGTGATAAAGAGAAATATATTATTAAGCATTTTCACGACATAAAAGCAAGACAAAAGCATAATATGCCTGACAAGGTTTCTCCTGAAAAATGAAAAAAATAAACACAGCTACATGTAACAAAATTATTAACTTTGTATGTTAATTTCTGTATTAATTAATCGATGAGAGCTATCATTTACATATCTTGAAAAATCATGAGATTAAATACTATTTTAACATTCTCAATTGAATTTAAAATAAATTAAAGCCACATCAAACATTTCAAATTGGTGGGCATAAGATGATTTTTATAACGATTTATTCGTTTCTTCTAAGTAGTTTGCGACATAATAATATGAAATAATTAAATTAGAAATAATTTATTCTGCTTATAAATCAAAGATAATGGCTAATTTAAACTTAATTTTTGTAAAATTAGTTATATAATTGATTAGCATTCTATCAAATTCATTTATACTGAATATAAATAAACATATCACAAAGTTTAAACATAACTGAGATTCTTTTCATATAGAAATCAAAGAGAACTGCATCATATACATGGGTATTGAATTCGAGTACAAGTAGCCGTTAAAAAATTGTTTCAATGGTTTTTACCATTATCATTTTTCTTCTATAATAATAAAAAAAGATTCTCGACATTCTGGTAAGTGAATATTTTGGGAGTAAACGAAATTTTGCGAAAGTTTTTTTTTTCGTCCCCTTTTTTTTTTAAAAAAAAAATTTTTAAGAATGAAAATGGAAACGGGAACATTTGTTACGTTCGGAGCGTAAATATAATGAAAAATGACCAATCAATTAAGGTTACTATATAGTTACAGAACCCTTTTCCCCGGACCAATAAAGGAAAGATGAAATGAAACAATTGATAACGTTATAAAAAGAAGCAGCACATAGTAACTGAGCCCATAATTTTTATAGAGTAGAATAATAATGTATTAATTTAATAATGATCAAAAACAAATTTAAAGGGTAAATGTATTTAAAATATTGGGAAAAAATTAAAAAAAAAATATAGAATAATTATCTATCTAAAATTACTGAGAGTGCGCAACACGAGATCTGCTGTCTGAATTAATCTTCTTCGATATATTTCAGGTTTTGCTCTTTTTCTTGTTAATATGATAAAATTGACTAATTAATACCATCGAAACTTCATTATCAACCAATACACACTTTTGCACTGTTTTTGAGCGTGATGCGTTTTTCATCATACATAATATTTTTGAGCGTTCTCAATGTAATTTGTTAGTGATTGAGGTGATGCAACCTCTCTCTATTTTAGCTTGCAGAACTTTAGCCAAGCTCCTTTTACCAATTAACAAGTAACTTATCGTTGTTGCAACATCAACAACGATATTATGCTACACAACCTCTTACGAATCTTTAAATGAAACAGAAGCAAGTTATAGAAATTTGAAAGCGTCAGAATTTTCCAATGCAAAAATATACCAATATTTATCACTTCTATCTCTTACAGTTGTGAGAATGTTATCTGAAAAAATTTTGAATTTTTAAATTATTAAGTTATTTACTGATTGTTTATAAGAGTTTCTAATAAAAAAAGTAGTATTTTGTTCAATTTACGACAGTTACAGATCATAGTGTAAAAAATGAATGAGTTTGTTAGACTCTTTTTTTATTTCATCAATGAAAATTTTAGCAAAAAGATAGTTTTTAGCATAATTTACATTCGTGCTTAATTTTTTTTAGCCAATCAGATCATTTTTAAACTTATTGAGCCCTAAATCTTTGTATTCAAACATTATATTTATAAGAGCATATAAATACATTGGTAATTTTATAATATTAAATTATTTTTAAATTTTGTTTAAAAAATATTAATTTTTTTATCATGTGAACTTCAATAAAACATTAATAAATTACCGTTGGCTTAGAGTTACATGATTTACCTCTTTTTTCTTCAAGAATTTTTAATTCATTTCGTTTCGCTATATAATAAGTTTAATAAATCTAAATGCTAGCTGCAACAACTTGATTGAATGGGTTATTTGGATTGAGGAAACGATTTCAAGAAATAATATCAAATACTACGAATATAAACATTTTAGCAATTTTCAAGAAATCGGTATTAGCAGCTTTGGAAAAGTCTATCGTGCAAATTGGAAAAGTACAAATCAACAGCTCGCGTTAAAATTGTTTCATAAATTTAACATTGCCACTGTGAAAGAATTTGTTTGAGGTAATTGTAAAACATAATATGTATTTCGTCTTTTTAGTATAAATTATTTATGAAGCTTTATTTGTAATGATTTAGCTTGAACTTCAACAGGAAGTTGATTTTCATGATAATATTATCCGCCGTCGTGGGATAACTTCGTATCAAGGTAAATCTTCATATATTGAATTTTTATTTTGTTTTACTCATCTTTTATAAAAAAAAAAATTAAAAATAATTAGAAAATCAAAATGATCAATTGAAAAGTATTTGAAGTTCTTACAATATTCATATCTTAATTCATTTCATAGATTTATTAAATTAATTATAATGATCCAAATCATAAGTTTAATCTGCAAAAACCTTATCAATGACTTACATTTGTGGCTGATTTTTATTTATCAAATTTTATCACAGTGTTTTTGTATATCGAAAAATCTTTTTTATTGATCTGTATAAAGTTGATCAAATGATTTTTGGTATCATATATGAAGGAGAAGTAGTATGAAAAATGGTTAAAACATTGAAAGTAAGTATGTGCTTCAAATTTTAACGGGCTTTTATCACGCGAATTCGATTCCCATGGTGGTATGCAATTCTCTTGAATCGCATTAGATGTATCAGATGTGTTTATGTTAAAATTTTTTAGGATTGGACCCAGGTCGGGTGCAAGCGGTTACCCACAGGCGGGCGGGTCGTTATCTTAGAACCCGGGTAATTGTAGGTAACTCGTCGGTTAGCCCGTTGTGAAAAATAAAATCGAATCATCCATTTGTACTTTTCAATTGTAAAATTTGGGTTGATAAAATGCATTAACTGCATATAATAAATATTTTTCATGATAAAATTAATAAATTTGATCGTGCGGCCGGCATTTTGTACATTTAATTCATCCGGGTCTAGCGGGTTCTCATTTGTTGATCACCCGAGTCCTGATGACCTATCTGTAAAGATGATAATTAGTCGTCTTAGTCTTTGTATCATTAGTCTTATACAAAGACGGATCGGACTGCGTTTTTAATTTATATAGACCGATCGGAAGGACCGTCAGTCTTGTAATTCAGTCTTTTATAAAAAAAAAATAAATATTTATAACTTACAACAATAAATTAAATGAGAATTTTTCCTGAAAGATGTAATTGTCCAACATTGCAAATAATTATTTTTCAATTTTTCGAGTAAAAAAATTCCATATTGCTGATGTTGTGGAACGAACCGAACTAATATCAATATTCAAGCTTCATTTTCAATAAAGGAAAGTGTCAGCTTCATTTTCTTCAACTGTTATCAAAGAAGAACCGAACCGCTTTAATCATTTATTCGGTCATTGTAAAAAGAAAAAAATGTAGATCATAAAGCTTAATTAAATAATGTTCAGTCTTTTTGCAGACCACGTACTTTAAAAAAGACCAAAGTTTTACAAAAGGACTGCCGGTCTTTTGATTTTATTTACATAGAAGACTGCGGTTATTTAAGTCCTGACTTTTATAATGTAAGACTGAAAAGACTTGATGTTTAGGACGGTTAGTTTAAACTTTATGTTATTTTACATAATGTTAGGTTATAAAAACGAATAATCATTTTCTTTGATCATTGTATGAGGAACCCCTAATATCGGGATCATTATATTTAAATATATATATTTTCTTCAATTATCGAAATAAAAATTACCTGGTTTATTATTATCATTTTTCAATATATGAAGTTACAATAAAGATGAATTAGCAGGTTGAGATTTTATTTTATTTTTACAGAAGAAACCAATGGAGGCAAATTTTGCTTTTAGTTTTGGTCTTGCCATGACAATTCTTTTTTGTCGTGAATATGATTAATAATATTTTCCTGTTATCACCTGTTTAAAAAATAATTTAACTTTTGAAGAAACAAATTTTTAAACGAAATTTCATGGAAAATGTATTAGTGTGTTTGTTCTTCTTTTCTTTCTTTTTACATTTTTTAAAGAAATAAAAAATAATCAATGAAGAAATATATAAAGGAAAGTTGGGATGAAAAATAAAGCGATAACTTTACAAAAGTAGAAGCATACCTTTAAGTAAAATAATTAATTGTATTAATTTTTAATGATCAAAAAAAATTAAAGCAAAGTATTTAAAATATTATGAATAACGAAAAGAAATATATTAAAGAGACATGGAAAATGTTTAAAGGAAAGAAGAAGAAATACAAATACCGTACAAATAGAAGAAAACTAGCTTATTATTCATCTAAAACTAAAGAGTGCGTAGTCACTTAGGATGGCAAAAATACGTCTAGATAAATACGACATTGAGGTGGTCAGTCAACTTAAATTTAATATCAATTTTTTTTTTAAATTACGATATGTACAATATAATAAATACTAGCGTTTAATTTAATACCGTATGTTTCGGCAAATTTTTCGAATCAATAAATATTAAAATAATTTGAAGCAACCTCTTCTCCAACTTGTAATTACCGAATACCTTGCAATGGAATATTTTGCTCTTTTCTTTGAGCCCGTATTGTTTCAGGACTAAAGATGGTTCCCATAATTATTTTTAAAATTTTTAACTAGTTGCAACTATTTATGAATTTTTATATTAAAATAAATTTACAAGGAGTTGCAACTTACCGAGTTGCAACTTCTCAATTATGGTATCCATCTTTATTCAGGACCCTCCATTAAATTTTCTATTTCAATCTTACTTGAAAAAGTTAATACAAGTTTTGATGGTTGTTTAATTGATAGTGACATATTTGATTGAAAAAGTCAGTAAAAACTATAAAATAGGTCAGAATTCATGCTACATTTTAAAATATATAAGCGAATTTTAGCAAATTCCTCTAATACTTGTCTACTATTTGCCAATTATTTTTTCGGGGCAATGTTAGGGTCGTTGAAACTGGTTCAAGGAATCACATCGTCTTTGATCACTTACTGTCTGACGAAAAAACTTGCTGTACAATTCTTAAATCGTCTTTTGTTTCAGATCCAGAAAATATGGATTTATCAAGAAGTTTTACAAAAAGTTAGTTCAAAAAATTCAATACAATATTATATCAGATAAATTAATATTATTAAATTTTTACAAATTTTAATATTATATTTAAATAATCTTTTTTTTTTTAATTTTTGACAATTTTAATTTAGTTGTAATCGTGAATCGTCGAACTTACGAAATTGATGAAACTATGTAAAATATAAATTGATTCAGTTATTTTGATAATTTGTATCGCAATAATGCTATGCAATTTGTTTTGAGTCATCAATTATTTCTATATTTCCACGATCATTATTGCCCCTTCCATTCATACTGACTGTGTTTCCTCGTATTTCTGAATTTAATTCATCAATTATTTCTATATTTCCACGATTAATTCTGAAACTATTACCAACTCGATTCCTCCTGATTGTGTTCCTTCGTATTTCTAAATTCTCAAGATCATTTCTTTTGATAATAAATAGTTCTTCTAGTGCTCCATCAAGCTGGCTGTTTAATTCATCGTTACTTGCATGTAAGTGAATTATTTCATTTCGTAGTTTATTTATTTCTCTTTGTGAATTTTCATGTATCTGTTCAAATTCTTTTCTCCGGCGATTTATTTCTGTTTGAGCATTCTCATGTAGATTATCAGTATCCTTACGAAGGTCATTTATTTCTTGTTGAGAATTATCAAGTTCATTTCGCAGAATGTACATTTCTGTATGAGAATTTTCAATTTCATTTCGAAGATTATATATTTCTGTTCGAGAATGTTCAAGTTCATTACGCAGATTTTTTACTTCGGTTTGACAATTACGCCTTTCGTTTTTTAGTCTATGGTATTTCACCTTTCTTACAAAAATATTCATATTACTTTATTTAATGTGGCTGATATAGTTAGAATGAAAATATTAATTTTAACTTAAAAAGGTTTAAAGATAGGCAAATCAATTTGAGGTATTTGAATATTTTGTTGGTTTTCCTACTTTGATATGAACATAATTGTCCACTCAACCTTTATATATTTTACGAAAAAATATCCCCATTTCGATCAATATCCAGCTTGAAAACCTATAAAGGGGTAATATTTCGAAATTTTATTCCCCCATTAAAGTTCCGTTACTATTAATAATGGTCACTTGATAAATGAACGTAGATTCATCGATTCGTCTTTCCTTTTTTGACACATACTAATTTGCGCATCATTAACTAATCACGCTTCTTTCCATTTTCGGTTCTTTCTCCTAACATTATGTATCAAAAGCATGCATGCGATAAAAGGTTAGATTATTATTTTTGTGGCAAATGAAGTAAAAAAAATATAAACGTCATTTACCATCCATGGATCTGCAAATTTCCATCGAAGAAATTTTTTTTTGCAGTTTTCGGTATATAAAAGAACTTATGTGGATAGAATGTTGAAAAAAAATATTGAATTAAAAAAAAAATAAAATTGATAACCGAACAAAATGGAAAAGAATAAAGAGTCAATTTTTTAAAAAAGAATTATTTTATCATGTGATCGTTCAGTACGTTTGGAATTTACGTTCATGTTCGACATATATTTATAGTTAATTATAGTATAGTTAATCCGGAGCAATAAATTAATTATGATAAGTAATTATGGTTTGCAAAGTTAATATTACAATCAGTTATATTTAGCCACTACGTGCTAAATCATCAATTTTGATTATTTATCAACGAAAGAACAATAACTATTATCGTGTGATAAATGATGTTGACTTAAAAATAATTGCTATGACGAAAGAATAGTTATATAATATTTAGATCACTTTTTCTTGTCGTTAATACTTAAAAAAAAAATATAATAAAAATAAAAAAATGGAAAACCACACGAAAAAGTTGAGTCCACCGATTACTGCGCCAATCATGTGACCATAATCACAATTTTTTTATTTTATTTATCGTAGTAATTTTCTTTATATCTTTACTATATTAAATATCTATGCATTTATATAAATATCTTATACCTTTGCCATGAGTAAAGGTAGAATTGGCTACCAATCGATAATATTTATCTTGTAAAAATTAATCTTTGCTTATTTACAATTTATTCTTCTTAAATCTATACTAATCCTGACCCTTCAATTTAATTAACTTGTGTTTATTTCTTCCATAGTAGAGTGAAGAAGATAATAAAAAATGTGACAAATTTGGATGCAAAATTTGCGCTGAACTTTAAACACCACAAAAGATTTTTGAATCTCTTAATTTTCTTCCAGACCCAATATCAACAGGTACAATTCAATTTTATTTTAATATATTAAACTAACACTATTTAGTTCATGATATTGATCATTATATGGACTTTTTCTATGGTATATAAAGCTACAACTGATGTGCTATAGAAAATTGGCTATATACATGTAAATCTGCCACTTTTCTGCAAGAAAATAACTTGTTTAATAATTGTTTATTCAGGAAAAAATTGGTTGTAATACCAATAGAATTTACTTGCTGAAAAGTCCATCCGGATCGGTGCTATTATTGTGGATCCCTTATAAATTTAAATCAAAGGTTTGAGATTCATAAATAATTTCTGTACAACTCGTTTACAAAAAAAAAAAAAATGAAATGAAATTTTAGATTTTAGATTTTGATGGCTTGATGATAGCGCAATCAAAACCCGTGAAATATCATGTTACGAACATACAGCAGTAAATCATATGATATCGTGGCTAAGCCTATTCGGAAATTTAAGGTTGTATTAAGAATCACTATCTTTCGAAAGGACAATGACATCATTGCTCTATCTTTGGAGAATCCCATTTACAAAATCGATTACAATTATTGGCGTTACCCATCCGTTAGAGCTAGCGTCAGGAAAATCGTTGTGGCTGATTATATAATTATTTTACAAAAAAGGAAAGTTTTGAAGTAATTTACTAAAATAGATTGGTACGTACATGTACATTATATCTAAATTTTTTAAAAAAAAGGTTATTTGTTACAATATTAAACAAAACTCATTTTTCCGCAGAGATTATTGTTAATAATAAAGAAATAAATAAAATAGAAAAAAGAAAAAAAAACACAAGGTATTATGAATGTTATGGAGCTAATTTAACTTTCAACAAGAGAATCAATCAAGTTGAGTTTAATTTCCGTAATATCGATAATTGAAGATATTATATTTCGAAGGGAAAACGGAATTCCGCAAAGACTAGTATGTACAGTAAGTAAGGCTTTTGACTCCGGTTTTTTCAAGGCAAGAAACTTTCGATTTTGATTATACATTGATGATGAAACGTATCCTTATACATAATGCCCACAAGAAGTACAAATTATTTTCTTCTGGTATTTATTTCTTGATTGATTTAGAAATGATTTCGTTTTTATAAATATCTTCGAAATGATTAAAGGACTCCTGCGCAACATTGAATTCATTTAGACCGATAAGAAGCAAAAGCAGCATCGTCGAAGGATTCCTGCTCCTTGCAAAATCATAGTTGAGTAGCTGCTGAACTTGATCGATATAACTATTGATTACAGACAAATATCCGGAATAAGCGTTTCTCGGTAAATGCTTCAAAGAAATTATTAAAATAAAGAAGTTGTGAATTTTAAGTGAGATGTAACGTTTCCAAGAGCATCGGACGAAATCAGATTGATTCCTTTAACATTTTTTTAGGACATAATTAATTAAAAACTTTGAAATTATAATCGTGGACATTACTTTATTTGTAAAAAGAATCTTGCGAAAGGTATTGACTAACTGGAATCGCTTGATATTTTCCACAGTAATATTCAAAAACTAAGGTAATATGACCGTTCATCTATAGTCGGGAAAATCGGTTAGTATTATGATGACACTCTACTAGAATCTATCCAAGCAATAAATAACATATTTTGCAGGATCTTCTTGTTGGATTGATTGATGATAATGGTGATGGATGTAATGGTAAGTTTGAAATTTTATTAGAATTTTCATTTGAATTTCTCATTTGAGCGAATAAAAGGATCAGCTGGGTGAAACTGACCTCCTTTTTACATGTTATGTAGCGATATAAACAAGGTCTTGGAATCGGCGCATCAATAGCTATTTCGCATATGAACCGGTATTTTGCGGGAAAGTTTGAGAAGGAAACATTTATATCACGACAGTGATGTAGTATAATTTGGTAATTGTGCCAGAGTATGATCGATCATGCAAATCCAGATCAACAGATACTCCATAAATCATATCATTCCAATCAGTCGAACGCTGTTTCATACGCGAGGATAGTTCAGGGGCTTGTTTTATTAAGAATAAAATGAGTACAATGAATACGTATGCCTTTAGTACATACGTGAAAAATAGAACCTATTAATAATAGGAAAATCCTCGTTAATACGTAGTTGCTGGAATGACAACAATAAGATCTTCCCGGTCCTCTGAGATTAGACAAACAATGAAAAATTAGGTTCCTCGATAATATCAACCGAATTTCAACGTACAACACAAGTACGCCCGTAACCCTACCACGTGCTTGAAATTTAAGAAGTGAAGGAAAATTTTACACACATTCGATACTATGCTGAGATCTTGATCAACCCCGCGGTTCAAGAATCGAATTCAAATTTTTTCACGATTGTATAAGGTGATTCTGGCATGATTGTTTCGAATTATGGACCACCCTATAAAGAAAAGGTTAGAAAGATATTAAAACGCAATTGCGAAATTAGTGACAATAAAATCAAATGAATTCATCCTTATCGTTATAACTCATCCTTTGATTAGCCATACAACGATTAGTAATGAAAATCGAAATCTATCTTCAACATAGCCTTAAATATTTCAGCTAAACCAAAACAAATCCGATCAACAGATTAACGAATTATCACAAAACAATTCCACAGGAAATAGAATTATCAAGAGTGAAGTGAAACCTATTATACCATTTAACTAGTTTCGCTTTCTTTTGTTTTTTTTTTTTGACTCTACCAATCTTACTGCCTTTTTTAATTACCAAACGACTTCTAAATTGTTACCCCAATCGATTATAGTTCCCTCTTCTGAATGGATTTTATATTCTGGTTTATCCTCCTCCACAGAACATTCAAAGAAATACTATAAAGTACTATCAGTGACTACTCCAAACGTTTTATAATGATCAAATCTTCGTCATCTTCGCGTTTTCGCTTTCGAGACATCTATGGAACCACAAAGATAGGCTTATAATGAAAACCAATATAATCAAAATTATATTCTTATTTATATCGAAGTTGTACGACGAGTTGCGCTACGCCTTGATTAAAATCATCTTTTTTATTTCTAAAACATTAATGATTATTTTTTCTAACATCAAACAGAAATCCACCATATTTTCCTTGAACGTATTCCTCTGGATATATTTTAACCTTCTCATCACACACCGAACTTGCCACAACAAGAAATGGTAATACAAATTTGCTATTATAAGCTTCTGATTCACCGCGGATTGTTGATCGACGGAGCTTTAATTATGCGACAGCATTTGAATCGTCAAGAGTTGGTAGTTCAAATAAATTGCAAACCGTACTGAGATTCCATTCTGTATATGGTTTCTGTACAGTATAATCATTTATTTCAAGATTAAAGGAGTTCGTTGAAACACAGGCTTTGAGAAATTATTCATGATTCCTCAAATAAATTTTGTCATCACCATCTTCTGGAAAAGATAATCGTTTGTATGATGCCTTGATTGAAATACTGTGAAAATTATAGCAGTAAATTAGGACTGTTATATATCCTCAGCTTACTATAAAATAAAAATATACTTATTTGCGGTTTTCTAAAAAATCCAATCTCTCTTTCTCGACACTAACACTTCTTGACTCGATTTAACGGTAGTTAGCAGGTCCTTCAACAACAACATTAATATGTTTTTCTTGATTGTATAACTAAAAATCTCTCCAACCTCTTCTGTATCCTTACACCTTCGGGAGATTTGATTTGTTCAAACTTTACACTATCACTTGTTGGAATACTGACTCTCCATATCCCCTATGAAAAAAATCCCATACAGTTTTTGTGTAGCTTTTGTGCCAAAAAAAACACTACAATTTTCGGACAGTGCAGGGTGCCAAAACATGAAATAACCCTAGTACCTGTACGGTCAAATTTTTAGCACAACATCTGAATTAGGAAAATCAACTGAACTAATCGATATAGTTTTTGTATGATTATTTCGGGTTTGGTTCGAAATCCCGAAGCTCGAAATCCCGATGGCACATAATGTCATAATCTTGAAAAATGAAATATCCCGAAATGTCATAATCCCGAAATACAAAATCCAGAAATGAAAAATCCCGAAATTCTATTAATATTAGAATTTCATTAGTTAATAACTTTTTTTATTATTATTTGATTTGTTTAATTAATAGTATTTACTATGAATTTATTATGGTTTTTTATTATAAAAAAAATATTATATCAGAGAGGAACAACTTTATTAATTTTATATATTATTATT